CCACCAGCCATCTCAGTGCAGATATGGCTTCTGGGAACACTGGCGTCACCCACTGTGCCTGCCCACCAGGGGCACATGAAACAAAGGTGAGGGGCCGGGGGCCTGCGGCAAGCTGTACCCATCCAATGGCGCCCATAACTGGCAGAGTGTGGGCTATGGGAAAGAAACACGGTTTGACATAAGGGGAACCAGATGCTCACCTGTGGGAAAATCATCGTCACACGTGTTACACTGTAAGCAGACAAATCTGTACTTCTGGTTTGTTGGAAAGATGTTAATGAGTAGGTCTGACTATCAATGTTCCACAGATTATTTTCTTATTTTCTGGATGGAATTGTACAAAACAGAATTTATCAGAACTCCTGCTTTTCCGAGACACACACCTACAGCTGTACTAGAAACAGCAAACATACACTGCCCATAGGTGTAAACATGTGTTATGCATCCTATTGAAAAAAATTTTGATCACTTGTGCGAGAAGAATCATTGAGTTCTATTCTCTATCACCTGAAGGGGCAACTGAAAAACACATATGCTACTTTTGAATAAATATGCTATTTAGTGATGTTATTAGTGAGCTTTTTCCAATCTGTACTGTTTTCTTATTCTACATAAATATTCACTTTCTAATTAATTATTTACAACATTGTATTCTTCTTCTTAGAAAGGCTCCCCCGCCCCAAAGTGTATAAGCTTCAGGTCACATCAAACTTGGCATCTGCCCTTGCCCCAAATGAAATCTGAAACTTGATTTATTCAAACATGTATTGAGCACCTACTCAGTATCAAGAAAATCTAAGTCTGTAAGGACATGGGAGTTTATTTTAAAAATTTTTTTATTTTTAATGTTTATTTACTTTGAGAGACAAAGATAGAGCGTGAGTGGAGGAGGGGCAGGGAGAGGGAGACACAGAATCAGAAGCAGGCTCCAGGCTCTGAGGTGTCAGCACAGAGCCTGATGTGGGGCTCAAACTCATGAACTGTGAGATCATGACCTGAGCTGAAGTTGGACACTCAACCGACCGAGCCACCCAGGTGTCCCTATAAGGGCATGGGAGTTTATGAAAGAGCCCCTCCTTATTACAGCGGGAGAAGATGGTGTGTTAAATGGTGGTGGGCACCGCAGAGAAAGTAAAGCAAGGCTGGCAGACAGGAATCTGGTGTCCGCAGGAGAGGGAGGCCCTCCACAGGAAGACATCTGCAACAGGCCAAAAGAGGGTCCTGGCACACACCGCAACAGCCACAGTGTCCCAAGGGCCGGCCACTGCTAGGCCCACATCATCCTGTTTAATCCTCACGATCACCAACATACAGATCAAGGAACTCAGGCTTAGAAAGGTTAGTGACTTGCTGGCGGTCAGTAGTTCAGCTCCGCAAGGGGTCCCAACCCTACCCTGATTCCACAGTGTACTGTCTCCTCTTGGTTTAAGTGACCCTGCAGGCCAAGCACAGGCCCAAAAGATCTAAAAGACAACTCTGGGGGTGCCTGGGTGGCTCACTTGGTTAAGCACCTGACTCCTGGTGTCAGCTCAGGTCATGATCTCACGGTGCCTCTCCCCTGAATTCTCTCTCCCCCCCTCCCCTGCTCATGTGTGCACTCTCACAGAATAAATACACTAAAAAAAAAATCAGTAAACTGTGATATGATTATACTTCAGCTGATTGTGTATCACTTCATTACTTTACATTAAAAAATAAATAAAAGACTACTTATTTTATAAATAAGTGGCCAGTACCATTTCTCCACAACAGTTATCTAGGAACAGAAAGTGCGAGGTAACACCCAGGAAAAGGGTGCTGCTTGCCTGACCCAGAGAGGCTTCGCAGGAGAAGTCAGGCCTGGGCCTTGCAGGGGTCAGGAGCCCAGACAGACAAAGAAGAGCATGGGTAGGTGTGGGGTCCTGAGGATGCCTGCGGGGGGCTGGGCTCTGCGGGGTGTGGTGGGCCAAGCGGAGAGGCCTGGTTGTAATCTCAGGTCTCCTGTTCTGCAGCAGGGAGGAGCCTCACTGCGTCTTACATTATAGCACCTTTCTGGCTTTTAAAAAGGCTATAAACTAAAACACCAGTTTGGCAGGGGAAAAACAAACCCACGACCCTAAAATAAAACTGCTTTTATCCTTAACATCCCTTTTCACCCTCGTCCACGTCTTCACATATTTTTGCAGCAGTATAATTGCTATGTACCCATGGTTTTGCCTTTCTAGAGAAGGCATGTTTTTGAACCGATTTCCATAAATCAAAGGTTCACATTTTGTCTGGAGAGAAGGACGGGAACAGGATTCCCAGGGCATGCTCACGGGCCGTGGAGAACCCGACCACCCTGGCATGCAGGATTTGTGTATCAGGGTTGGTTTGCAGAACTGGGACTGCAAAATGAAAATCTTTAGCACATGCCGCTAACTGCTCTCCAAGATCAAGCCAGTTTACAGAATTACCACCAAAGTAACGGATCCCCAGAAACCCACCAACACTGGGCTTTCCCATGTTAAGTTCTGTGTAATCCTCACCTTTCTGACTCCCTGTTGCCAACGTAAGATGTGCAGTAGACAAATATACTACAGTCCAGTGACTCTGTGGACACCGTGATTTCAGGGCACGACACCAGTGCCCTCAGATCGACACTCAACTTTACAGTGGGGCTTCCCTGAATGCCTGACCCCACCGCTGCGTGCAGGAAGCTCGCGACCCACCGAACAGGTAAGCAGCAGTAAGACAACGGTGTTACTGTCTGACTACAGAGGGGGTGCCGAGGTGACCAGAGGCCAGTGTGTGGACAGAAGGGATTACCCACGTGTCTATCTTTGATTTGCCATTTGGTTCTCATCTTCCCCTCAAAGCAGTATAACTAACTGCTTAAATACTGCCTACTTCACGGGGCACATGGGTGGCTCAGTCAGTTATGCATCTGACTCCGGCTCAGGTGATCTCACGGCTCGTGGGTTTGGGCCCCACATCAGACTCCGTGCTGACAGCTCGGACCCCGGGAGCCTGCTTCCCATTCTGTGTCTCCCTCTTTCCCTGTCCGTCACCCACTCTTTATTTTTTTTTTATTTTTTTATTTTTTTTTATTTTTTTTTAAATATTTTTATTTACTTCTAGGAGAGAGAGAGAGAGAGAGACAGCGTGAGCAGGGGAGGGTCAGAGAGAGAGGGAGATACAGACTCTGAAACAGGCTCCAGGCTCTGAGCTGGCAGTCAGCACAGAGCCCGACGCGAGGCTCGAACCCACGAACCGCGAGACCATGACCTAAGCGAAAGTCGGACGGTTAACCGACTAAGCCACCCAGGCGGCCCCGTCACCCACTCTTTAAAACATTAAAAAAAATTGGGGCGCCTGGGTGGCTTAGTCGGTTAAGCGTCCGACTTTCGCTTAGGTCATGGTCTCGCGGTTCGTGGGTTCGAGCCTCGCGTCGGGCTCTGTGCTGACTGCCAGCTCAGAGCCTGGAGCCTGTTTCAGAGTCTGTATCTCCCTCTCTCTCTGACCCTCCCCTGCTCACGCTGTCTCTCTCTCTCTCTCTCTCCTAGAAGTAAATAAAACATAAAAAAAAAACATTAAAAAAAAACATTAAAAAAAATTTAAAAGACACTGCCTGCTTCGCTCTTCTATCTACTCGGATCCTTCTCCCACCTGGTAATATAACGCTAACGTTACTGAAGCGACGTCTCACAGACGGCCTGTGTACAGACCACCATATGGGGTAGCTAAGTTTTAGCCCCATTTTACCCGTAGAGAACAAAGACGAATGAGTGTATCACACACACTTACTCTCTGGGGAATGGCTTAGTGCAGGAGGGCCCCGGAAACCTACGAAAGGGTGGTCTGGTGTGCACATAAAGGGGCCGGCAAGCTCCCCCAGTTGAGGAGACTGCGCGGCGGCATCTAGCGCAAGCGGCCAAGGCCACACTCGCGGTGAGAAGAGAACCTGCAATGCAGCCGGGGCGCGAAGCCGAAGCCGGTGGCCGGGGTGTGATCCTAAACCGGTCTCTCCACTTCGTCTGCTTCCAGCTGGGGCTGCGCAAGCAGGCGCGTCTCCTCCGCCCAGCAGGGCCGGGCGTGCTTCACACCGGATTCCCCCGTTCAGTGTGCTGGGACTCACACAGATTTCAACAAATGGCAGACGCAGAAAGTTAAAATTACATCTGATCTACAGGTAAGGGTTACTCCACGCCTGCCCCCCATCTCTCTGGCACACAGAAAATCGGTGCTGCCTGCTGAAACGTCGTCTACACACGACCAACACTCGAACCCAATGCCACCGGACGGTCATCAAACACTGCCGCGGAGGTCCAGCCACAACCACCTCGTGGAAACAAAACAAACGGAGAGAAACCCCCTTGAAACATTCAGCCCTGGGTTTTCCATCTTCCCATGTTTCTTTACACGGTGAGCCGGCGTTATTTCCCTCAGCGCCAGGTTACGCTTCCGTTTTCCCAGCCGTTCCCGACGAGCACGCGAAGGCCGCCGGAGGCTGCGGCCACCAGCACGAGTGGGAAGAGCTGGCGCGAGGCGCGGGGCCACACGCCGGCCGCGGTTTTCCTTCAGACGCCCTCCCAGGGCCTTCGGAACACGTCTAGACCTGAGTGGACGAAACGCACGAGCCCCGAACACCTAGCTAAGCGCCTCGAGGATACGATTTACGTCAAGGCCACGAAGGGTGTGGTCACGGCCCGCATGAGCTTCCACCTGTGGCTTGCGTGGGCCTCCACGCGGGCTGCTCCCCGGGCCACTCCCAGGGTCCCCGGGCCCCCGCGCCGGCCCCTCCGCGGCCCGCCCCCGGGCCTCCCGCCTCCAGGCCGCCAGCGGGCAGGCTCCGCACTCTCGGGCCCTCCTCGCGCGGGGCCCGCCGCCCTGAAAGGCCTCCCGAGCCCGGGCTTGCACTCCTCTGGTGGACCGCCGTCCTGAGGAGCCGGGCCGCCGCGGGCCTCAGCGCCGGCTCGGCCTCGGCCCCCCGCCCCCGCCCCCGCCCGCGGGCCCGTGTGCTCGCGGCCCTGCGTCCTCACCCGCCAGCCCGGCCCGCGCCGTCGTCCGCAGCGGACCCCGGGTTTCCGCAGCTCCGCCCGCTCGCGACCGCCGCGCCTGACTGCCCGCCCGCCGCCTCCACGGCGCACGCCCCGCCCCGCGCCGCGCGCCCCGCCGGGGCCCGCCCCTGCCCCCGCGGACGCGCCGCCGATTGGGCTGCGGACCTTTGGGGCGGGGCCTCCTCGGCCGGCGGCCTGGTAGTGCGGCACAGAGTTCTGATTGGTGAACGGACGGGGAGGAGGCGGGGCGAAGACGACCGGCGGAGTCGAATGCAAATCGCAGAGATTCACCTCCCCGGAAAGGTCCTCGGCCCTGGGAGGGGCCTCGGCTCGGCAGGCGGGCCTCAGCCTGGGGCGGGGCTTTGAACTGGGGGGATGGGTCCCGGCTGGCGGGGCCGGGGGCGGCTCTGGGCGCGGCTCCTCGCCCCTGGGCTCCAGCCTAGCCTGCCTGCCTCCTCTGCCCCCAATGCATTCCTCCTGGGGCTACCCGGACCATGCCCTCTGGGCACGGACTGCAAATCCAGGACGTGCTGCGGTGGACAGGGGAAGGCGGCCAACGTCCTCTCGGCCTCGTGGTTCCCCCTTTGGCCTCGCGACTCCCACTGGGTGATGGAAATGTGACAATACGTCCTGGGCCTTCCAAGCCCGCGACCGCTAGATGCACACACTCCTTCTTCTGGGGATTCAGTGAACTCCTACGCATCCTTCAAGCCTCACCCAAATTGCCCTCAGCGCCAGGTCCTGACACCCGCACTCCTGGGGCAGACCAGGGGTGGCCCCAGCTGCTGTCCAGCGGATAAAAGGTAGGATCAACCTGGGTTCGTCCTCAAGGGGACCCCGCCCCCTACAGCGTTTCACCTCCTGAGCTTGGGCGACCCCTCAGGTTTCCTAAAGTAGAGGTTCAGGGAACTGATGCTCCCCACAGGGCAGCCTCAGGGTCTGAGGCTCAGCAGGGACCCAGTTTGGCAGGCACAACCTGACAGGGGCTTAGCCCTGTAGGGAGTGGCTCCTCCACTTCCTGTCCCCATGTCCCCCACCACTCCCGTTAGCCCTTTCCTCTAACCCACACCCCGCACCAACATTAGAGTCCAGCAAGCTGTCCTTACTGCCCCCAGGGTGGCACATATTTCAGGACCTGACTGCCCCAAAGGCGTGCAGGGCTAGTGGGGGCTGGGAGCAGGGAGCTGGTCCCAGGGGTGGGTGACTCCCTGGAGGCTGCACGGCCTCCACTGGCGCCAAACAGGAGGGTACAGGCTGACCTGAAGGAATGAAGTGGAGATGGTGTACCTTCCACCCTGCGGTCTGTGTAGGTGGTTCAGGAAGCACTAACGGTCCTTGGGTGGTCAGTGGTGAAGGCAGCAAAGAGCATCACGCCGCCCAGAGCAGGCCTGCAGTCAGGTTCAAAGTTTCCTCTACACGTGGTAGAGCGTTCCTTGTCTGGCTCTTCTCAGAGATACTTACAATAGAAACGATTTCCTAGCTGTAGCCCAGGCATTTGTACCTCCAGGTATCCAGTAGTCACTGAGCAGTGAACGAGACCCCGTGTCTCACTCCATCGGTCTAATCAGCAGACACGACTGCACTCCTACTGGTGCTGATTTTTAGCACACGCTCACTGTAAGCAGGTGATCAGGTCACCTGTATTCCTTCCTAGTCTTTATGGCTCCTTCTCTCGGGCTGGGATCGCTAATACAAAGTTGGGTACTGATGTTCTTGGCGCAAGTAATTCTTTCTGATTTAGCACACAGATGTTTTGTAGGGCTTTGAACCTTTCCCAGAAGACTTTACACTTTCATAAAGAACCAATAGTAACTATTCACTTAATAGCCAAACAATAGTGCTTTATTGATAAAAGGTTAGTTTCAATGGATACAAAATTGCTAATGTAAAATAAGTTTTCAAAATACATTTCTATAGGTAAAGATTCTCTTAGTAAAAGCAATGATCTATAGTAACAGTATTTATTTGAAATTGGGCAGCACAACAAAGGGGGACTAGCGGGGAGACAGCACAGGGCCCCCCGCCCCCCGCAGAAGCCTTACAGCGAGGCGGCCGGCCCTAGTCACGTACTCAAGCAGACATGGGGCTTGCACTGACCACCAGCACATGTGCCCCCAGCTCCATCCTTTAAACAGCTTTTACTAGTGTAGTTAATGCCAAAATAACCCAAATAGTCGGCCTTGCACAGACGTGCTCTAAAGTCACTCAACGCTTTCCCTTGGTAAAAACTCAGTACGACATGCCTACACCTAACAGCTTGTGACTACTCACCATTAAACGACAGTGAAAAGGCAAAGTTGTTGAGAATACCCGATTATTTCCCATAGCACATCTTTGGAGTGAATATATTTTGACCATGTCACCATATGGTGTCTGACCAAAACAAAACCTCTCCTCCTCCTCCTCAGAGGAAGAAATTTCTGCATCTTAACCGCTCCAGTTACAGCAAAATGAAAACACTGAGGCCGCACCTGCTCCCTCCAAGTCTCCTTCCCCGGTCTTTTTCTGGGAACTGCTTTCCCAATGTCAGTATAAATGTTGAAAACAGCAAGCCTGGAGCACTGGCGCCCCTCGGAGCACACGGCAGGGAGACACACTAGGAGGGCATGGAAGGGCCAAGGCCACAGAGCACAGAAACGGACCTGACCGGGGGGATCTACCAGTGAGACCGTGGTGCACATCAGAAATGACTTTCTTACTTGGTACATGGGGAAACTGGTATTATAATGAATGAGGGAAGTGACAGTGGCTGAAAACGGACAACCGTCTGCACATTAAAAAAAAAAAAAACAAAAAAAACTTCTGCTGCTATTTGGTTCCTTCCAGAAAACCATTAAAAACTTCAAGGAAACAAAGGAAAGCCAAATCAGGAAAACCTGGTAGGCACTGAGGCTTCATGGGGCCATGAGCCTCAGGGCCGATGACAGCTCTGGATTCAGAGGCCTGCCCACCAGAGGACCCCGATTTCCACTGCTCCGGCAGATCTTACACACTTGCAGTTGCAGAAAACACATTAAAGTGCAGTATAAAAATACAAAAAGGTTGGTTTCTAAATATATCAACTTATTAATTTTCCTTAAAAAGTAACTTTTTATGTTAGTTGAGTAAAAATCATTTATTGGCTCTCTTTGTGTGCATTAAGAGTCATCGTTGTACTATGAAAACTGGAGTTCACAGACACTTTCTGTCCAGAGCAGAGTATAAACCAGTTATCAGTGAAGAACACTACAAAACATGGCTTGTGCCAGGTTCACTGCAGAGCAGTTTAAAAAATGCTGTAGCGTTAGAATCCAGAGTTCTTAAAAGTTGCTCCTAATGGTCTGTTTCTAAGGAGCTTTCTGAATACGCGCATATCACGTTAGATAATCCTGCAGTTTCACGTGGCAGAAAGGTAACTGCAGATGAATGAACGGCATTGAATTACAGCAGCAAAACTGGTTTTAGGTTGTGTTCAAGGCAAAGCAAAGCAAGCAAGATGGGCCGTCTTGGTGACTCGGTAACTAAATGCCCTACTGCAGGTCAGTTCATCACTGGGTCTATGTCGCCACCACCCAGGAACACTGCTGGCTTGATCTGAATGTTCTAGAAATGAATCAAGAGTGCTCCTCAACCATGAGGCCAGCCAAGTCAAAGAAATTCAATGTTAACTACACATACTGACTGATCCTGGAAATCAGTTCCAACATTAGTGGTTAGTTAAGGTGGAAGAAAGATAAAAATGAAAGGTTCACCTCACAAGATATAAAGTATACCATAGCAACGAAATTACAAATGTTAAAGTATTTCATACAAAACAAGACATCAAAAGTTTAAAAAACAATTAAATTTTCAGGCACAGGTACGGTAAAATGTGGACGGGCACCCTTCCGGTAATCTGTGGGAAACACGCAGCTGTATTATTCAGGCGGAATGTTTTCTGTATCTTGCAAAGTGTTTTCTGGAAAAACAAAACACAACACGTTTAGATGAAAGCGGGGCAAAGCTCCTGCTAGCGCCATTAACATTATTTTCGGTATCACAAAGGGCACAGATTCAGCAGAAGGCTGGCTCACGTGACCACAGTTAACTAAATCAAAACAGCATTGATGAAGCTCTTGGGAACTGCGAGTTACCACCAAACTGAAAAGTATACCAAAATATAAAACAGTTGCATATACCTGAAGTAGAATTTTCCTAATTTCATAATTAATGTTTTAAAAAGAAAAGCAGGAAAATCAGAGAAAATGAGCACACTTCGGTCACTACCCCCGCCCTCCCGGTCAGGAGTTCTGTCTCTTCCAGTTCCCCAGCAGTTCCCCATGAGGCACCAAACCTGCTAAAGCAGAAGCAGCCACACGGGGCCGGGCGAGCTGACACGTCCCCAGTTAGAGGAGCGCAGGCAGATCACCGGAACCCCCGGCGCGGGGTCAGTGTCCGCGGCCACGCAGCGTGCACTCTGCACACACTCTCCGGGCTGCTGTGCGGTGTCAACGACCAACTCTGGGCTGCTGTTCAACCCCAAGTGGGGTCACGTGTCCACTCCTGTTCCAGTGACCAGGGACACCGAACAGGTGTGTCTGTGTGCCTCACAACTGAAACCTTTCCCCCACAAGCCACAGGGCAGGGCTCCCAGCAAGCCCCTGCAGGGCCTTCCTCTATCACCTGGGCGACTGCCATGGTGGACCCGACACGTGTCCCAGCCTCCAGGTGCTTCGCTTTTGTCTCCTCAGTCCTGCCCCGTGTCAGTTACACCTCATCTCCCTCTACAATCAGGCCCCCACCTGTCGTAGACTCTGCACGTGCACCCCCAGACCTGCGCCAAGCCCACAGGGCTGCCTCCTCCTTGGGCAGATGGTTGACTTTACTTTCCCTCCTTCCTCCGGAGGGTGATGCTGGCAGCTACCTAAACATTTGCCCTTTCCTGGCCCTGGGGCCCTGCTGTCTGCAGAATCCCGTCAAACAGCGGGGCGAGCGCCGAGGCACACCGGGGCCAGACATCTACGAGATACGCTGATTACCACGGGGCGGAGCAGAGCTGCGCTGCGGACATCAGCCCAGCCATCTGGCTCAAGGAAACCCTGGTCCATGGGGTGTAATTTGCCTCTTCACGTCATCTTTACCTTTGGCTTGCATAAGTTGTTTTAACAACACTTCCAAAATTCTCTTTGAAGAGATGTTTTCAGCTGCATTAAATTTCCAATTGTATGACTAGTAAAGGTTATTCTTTTAAAAAAATGTTTTAATGTTTTATTTATTTTTGAGACTGAGGCAGAGTGTAAGCGGGGGAGGAGCAGAGAGAGAGGGAGACATGGAATCCAAAGCAGCTCCAGGCTCTGAGCTGTCAGCACAGAGCCTGACAGCAGGGCTGGAACCTAACGAACCGTGAGATCATGACCTGAGCCGAAGTCGGAACCCCAACCGACTGAGCCCCCCCAAGCGCCCCTAGCAAAGGTTATTTTAATATTATTTGTCTTCGTTAATCACATTTACCAGCTCAGAAAATACGGACAATCTTTTCTAGGCTGGTAGAGTGGAGAGGCTTCCAACTTTTAGAAGCCACCCTATCTCCTTCAAGGCCAGCAATAAAGTTAAAGATGGAGCTTCAAGATGCGAAGCGTTATTAGCAAGACTGAAGGAGGTGGCACATGAGCTTTAGGCTGAGGTGTCTGAAGGCTCCCCTCTTACCTTACACGTGGTGCCCGTGGGCCCCGCCATCGCCGTCCCCGCCCTGCAGCTGCAGCTGCATCTGCGCCTGCATCCTGGCGATCATCTCTTGCATGCGGCGGAGCTGTGGGCACAGGATGAACGGACACGTTATTGGTTCTCCAGGTCCATGCCCCCTGGATGTTCTTTACAGGCATTCTCGGGATTCCTAAAACATCAACCTCTGAGCTTTCCCAGAACATGACAGAAAATTTACAAAGAACTCTTACAAATCAGTAAAAGAACCAACGACTCAATAGAAAACTAAGCAAATGATAATATGCAATTCAAGTACAAAACAGAAACGACCAATAAACACGAGCATTCGGTAAAGGCACCAGGAGACATTCTTTAACCTCGAGGGTGGGGAGCAGCACTGGGCTCTTCTAGAAGACGGCAAGGCCCTGGCTGTTCCAGAGGTGTCTGGGCCTTCCCTGCTACCCTCACCAAATGTCATCCTTACGGTCTCCACCGCTTTAGATGGGCCTCCAGGCAAGCGTTATACAATATTTACTTAAATTCTCTTCCGGGAATTTTGTAGTCATGTTTTCAATATTTATCTTAATCCATATTGAAGTAAATTAGGGCCAAAGGAGTGAGTTTAATTATTGTTTCCAAAACACTTGCCCGTTTGAGGATTTCCTGGATGTGCCTGAATCCCACGGCCCTAACGGAACCCACCTCTACTACCACAGACAACTTTCTCATACTCTGGAGCTCTTTCTAGACCTGAGTTTCATCAGCGTATCAGGCCTGCGCCGCACTCTGGGTTTCCGTGAGCAGAGCAGCCCGCCCGCCCTCATGAGTCCTCCTGTGCTCAGTCTTCAGGTCAAGTCACGAGTGTGAGCAAGCTTCTCCCAGCACTGTGCTGGAAAGGCGTGCAGTCTGGAGGGCTGTGACCTATGCACTGAGCATCCTACCTAAAGTGATGTGTCCAGGCACGTTTTGAAAATTGTTTTCGGGAGAGTGATCTAGTTTCTTTTCGGTTTATGTCCTACATATTTCTTAAGTTTTTGTTAATGGTTGTAAATGGCAGTTTCTCTCATTATATTTTCCAACTCGTTATTGGCTAGGTATAGGAAAGCTACTAAATTTTAATTTGAATTAAATTTAAATTAAATTCATTAAATTTAAAATGAATTTGAATTGCCAAATTCATTAAGTTTCAGGAACTAACGTCACTAAATTCACACTATTCCCAAAGTTTCCCCACCAAATTGCTACTGGAGATCAGACGGTAACACGTGTAAAAGCACTATCCACACACATACTGATGCACGCGTCATAAGATAGATTAGTGACATACAACGTATCCCTTCGAAGACTGAGGAAAGAAAACTCAGCCTCTGTGGATGCACTTCAGACTTGGCAGGAACCCTTTTCTACTCACCTCGGCTTCCTTCTCCAGCAGGATCTGGTCTTTATTCATGTCCTCACTGTCCACTTTTCTAACAGTTGAAAGAAATTACAATGATCATATTGCAACTAATTTAGCTGGTTATTTCTGATGACAAATGTCCAAAGTAAAATTTTACTTTACACTTCTGAGAAATGTTATCTAATATTACCCACATTTATCATTTTTCGGACGAATAACATAAATGGATGAGAAAAGAATGATGAAGAGGCACAACATGAAATAGTAAACTGAAAAAACTTTCCTAACTCCAAGTGGGGGTGAGACACTTTCATCTTTACTTATTCAAGGAATATGAGCTGTTATCAGGAGGGTACTCTGTTTAAAGATAAGTTGTTCTTTACGGACACAGACCGTAATGAGACCACGTAAATGAACAGGGCCTGAGCACCCAGACTGAGGCCACCGGTGAGGGAGGCCCTCTGAGCGACGACAACGTAGCTCTTCGTGAACTCCTGCTTGGCTCACTCACAGTGGGATTTTCCTGTGGCCTCTAAAACCTTTCTCTACGTCTGGTCCCCAAACAACTAACACGATAAATCAGACCTTAACGTATACCCCGTAGACACACACAAACCCACCAGATTTCAAAAACGTGAGCACCTTATAACAAGCTACAACACAGCAGTCCCCCCTTATCTGTGGCTTCAGCGGGCATGGTCAGCTGTGATCTGAAGGCAGCAGACTCTCTCAAGCGTTAGGTTAACAGCGGCCCAGGGCTCCACCATGCTGCCCACGCACTCCGCCCACCTCACCCCATCCCGTGGGCATCCTAGCGTCTCAGAGGCTCACGAGTGGAGCGGTGAGCGCAGGGCAGGAAGGTCGTTCACGTTTAGAGTACATGGCTGTAACTGCTGCGCTGTCTTGCTGTTGTGGTTAATCACTCACTGCACCCGATTTATAGGTTAAACTTTACCACAGACGCATGCCTACAGGAAACAGGCGCACGTGTGTGGTACTCGGCACCGTCCTCGGGCAGGCGTGCTCTGGGGGCCTTGGAACATGCTCCTGTGGGCTCAGGTGTGTGGGAGCAAGTCCTGTACAGAAAGCTCTTTCTGTAAAGTGGCGCAGGTCACTACCTTGGTAACTAAACTGAGCACAGATGTGGTGTGATCAGAAACAAATCAGGTTACAACACACAGGCCTGGAGTAAAAACCCACTACGATGGTGAAATAGAAAAGGCGAGGCCAGCCGCTCACTCCACCTGGGGAGCTGCGCTTTGTGACAGCAGGTAAGTCTGTCCTCACTGACAGACAGATATTCTTGAGCCCAGTCACTGGCCTTTCCACCTAAAGCTACCCCTTGTGTGCAGGTGGTTAAAGCTGCTCTGGACGGGTAAACAAAAGCACTGCACAACGACACTAGCAACAAGTACCCGGGAAGAGCTTCTGAACAGAAAACCAAATCGTGTGGCTTCAAGTCAGGATGACACAGCAGAACAGGCAGAAGGGGGGACAGCGTGACGCTGTGACGCAGTATGGACAGAGGGGGACGGCATGAATTAGGGGTAACAACCTGCCGCCTCTTTTGAGCCTCTCGGAACGGAAGTTTTCATAGTGCAGGTCCTGGGTCACCTCCTGGAGATCCTGCATGTGGGTGCTGCCGAGAGAAGGCACACAAGGCCGGCTGAGTGCGGAGAAACCCACGCCCCACTTGCTACTTCTAACTTGAACACAGAGTTGCTGCAGTGCTCGAAAACGGAAGGAAGCTCGGAGGTGCCCCTGCTGCCACAACAAGAGCGCCAAAGCTCACGGCACAGGGTCAGGTGAAGAGGCCCTTCCGTGGGACGTCCCCCCCCGGCGCCGCCCAGCTCGGCAGGAGGCCAGCACGGTGCACGGCAGCAGAGATTTCAGCACGCCCCTTTAGGTAAACAGCGTCTGAAACACAACGTACTTTTCATTTTCTCTTTTTCAAATATTCCTGACTTCTCAAGCTTAAAGAGTTGATCAGTTTAAGCTATCAGGAAGACCATAAGGCAAAGTATTAATATTTTGGATAAACTAGAAATAGCACTTTCAATCTTCTAATCATCTCAGAAAAGTCATCATTTTTTTGGCTCAGGTTTTTCAAATACGTAAGCTGTCAGGAATGAGAGACGACGAGGCATTCTTGTCTGCTTAGGGTCTAGGGAAGGGGACCAGTGACAGCAGAGGGTGGCGTGCTCTCCGTCGCTCTAAGAGGCACACACGAAGCCGCCATCTTCACTGCACTGTTTGCAGCACGGCCACAAGGACCTGTCCTGAGCGACACAGATTATGCCTGAGGAACCTGGTGGGGTTTTTACTTGTAGTTTTGGTGCTTTCTGTTCACCAACAATTGCTCAACCGGGACACACACCTCAATGAGCACGTATGCCAATGTTTAGTTACTCAAAATTTACTCTTTGAATTCTTCTGATTAAAGAGATTTTAGATTTTAGCAATACTCTTTCCTTCAGTCTGATTCGAGAGCAGTTGCATCTGCATGGATGTCACTAAATGTGAACTCTACTTTTCAGAGAGAAAATGTGCAGTTTTGCAGCCGGCTCTGTGGGAGGGGCTAAGAACGCACTGAAGAACCTCTGGACGGCCTGCGGTGGGAGTGGAGAGGCCGCCTGTGGCCCCACAGCGCGCCTGCACCTCTGCTGCCACAGCAGGAGGCGTTTGTGTCGGGCGCGGCCACAGTTCAGGACCAGGCCGCTTTCAGCGTCAGGAGAGCTGGCCGGCGAGAGAGGGGAGGGCACTAAGGCACAGGCCTCGAGTGGGAGAGGCTGGTTCCACAGAGCCACAGCGAGCTCCAGGGAGGGCCTTCCCGCAACGGGTGCAGCGGCCCCGCCGCCCAGTAACCGTGGCGCCAGCAGCTGTCTGCGGGGCCGCACGCACACCCTGCAGTCAAAAGGCTCTGCTCTCTGCTAGGCACGGCCAGCGGGAGTGCACGGGTGTCTTACATGAGCATTGTCCTCAGCTTCAGAAAGTCATTGTGCTCCGGGTTCTCCACCTCCACGACGCCCCATGGGTAGAGGCGGCCTCTGACCTTCTTGCCCTTGGCTTCGATCAACTGATTGGACCCGACCACAGAGAATGGGATACTGGCCTAGAAAGAGACACACGCGGTAGACTGGGTCCCCACCAGGAAGCCCAATTCTCGCTGTGAGCACACGAACACGGGCACAGATGGAGTGCACCGCTGCTTACTGCGAGATTTCCTCAGAGAGCTACCAGTGCAGAGCATGCTACTTGGAAGGACAGGTGTTTTCCACATGGGACAAATCAGATGAAAACAAATTGAGCCTGTGCCAAGATTTCTAAACCTTAGGTGGCAGCTACGTCAAAACATACTTAAAGCAAATCCACTATGAATCTCTCAAAAGTCAGCCTTCAGGGATGTGGCCCTTTGCCAACTCCTTCCCGGGCGCTGATGACAGGGAACAGGAGTGACGGGCACCTGGAGAGGTGTTCTTACCTTGAGAAGTCTAGTCTGCTCTTTAAAATCCTCATCTTCATCAGATTCTGCATCAGGTAAATGATAGATTTTGATATTATGTTCTTCAATTTCATCCAGAATCTGAAGAATGACAAATACAGGAAGAATTTTACCAAACAACTCATATTAAAAAGCAGGAGTGCCTGGGGCGCCTGGGTGGCTTAGTCGGTTAAGTGTCCAACGCTTGATTTCCGCTCAGGTCATGATCTTGGTTTGTGGGATCAAGCCCCACATCACACTCTGTGTTGAGAGCACAGAATCTGCTCGAGAGCCTCTCTCTCTCCCTGTAGCCTCTCCCCTGCTCACATTCTCTCAAAATAAATAAAAACCAAAAAACAACAACAAAAAACAGAAGAGAACTGTCCAACTGTTAAAACGGAATCAAGCCAATCACTGACTGTCAGATGACTCTGAACTGCTGGGAAGGCCGTGCTCGTAGAGGCCCCCTCTGCCCAGGATGACGACAATAGAGCGCTGCCACCTTCAGGGCACAGAGCAACGGCTAGCACACAGGAGACACGTCACAAGCAGCCTCAGGAAGCACACGTACCCGGGGAGTGGCACCGCCAGATGCTGCAGGTGCCCGAAGAGCCACAAGTGTCGCCTAAGGCGTCGAGGATGCAAGTGCTAGAGGAGGGAGGGGCCTCCAGGGGAACACGAAACCCAGGGTGGCTGGAGGTAAGCCCCCTGGTTGGAGAAGACAGAACAATTACTGCAGGTACCAAGCAGAGACTCCCCTGAATGCCAGGCTGGGTTCTGGATTTTATTCAAGAGGAGAAAAGTGGCAGCCATAGAACCACACACTCGAACCAGCCAAGCAGGCGGGAGAGCAGCCTAGGGGACAGGAAACCCTGGGCGGGAGATGAAGGAAGCAGCTAGGCATCTGCAGGCCGACCAGCATCCAGCCCCCAAGCGCCTCCTGTGCCCAAAGGGCCAGCAGACCCAGGCAGGCTCGAGCTCGGCTTCCTCTCCCTCAGGGCCCTGGGCCTCACGAGACGAGAGATGAGAACCGACACCAGGTCGGCAGAAATATCCCTACTTGAAACCCTGCTCTGCATTGGTGGTTCTTAACGGGAACCCTCGGGGCTTTACGATCAAAGATCGTGGGACTTAACGCGTTGTCTGCACTAATTCAGGAGTTGCAAAGACATCTTTCTCCCTCCTCCCAACATGCTTCACCTTCCAACGGGACCATCTGTGCTTTGAGAGCCCTCCTTCCGAGAGGAGCCAGAAGACCCACCTAGCCCGCGGGAGCAGCCTAGCCCTGAGCTTGAACTCCTGCTCCATCTGTTCCTCTTTCCTGCCCATTATCTGCTGGCCTCGTCAGGCTAAGACTTACACTGAGGATGAGTTGACCAAATGCAATAAATACGCGATTTTAAACCAGAAGAGAGAAAGAAGAGGGTGATGAACCAAAGGCAGTCACCCATGTCCCTGCCTGGGGGCGGCACCGAAGGTGGGTCCAGGTGGAGGGGGGGCGGAGGAGGAATATCTCCTGTTCACACACACAGTTTACATGAAAAAGAGTATCAGATAGGAAAAGCAGAAGCCACAGGAGATGATAGGATCGAAACAATCCTAAGCAATGCTGACATTCATGGATCAGAAGACAGGTGGTAAAGCAGGCAGGCAGGAAGTCCGGTCTTCCGAGAGCTCAGCCAGCCTGCTGGGGAGGCCCAAGGCCGGCGGCAGAGGGGCTGCTGGCCAGACCCTAGACGGGATAGCTACTGGGGTCAACGTGGAGCCAGTTAGAGACTGAGGAAGGGTCAGATAAAGCAGGTCCGCCAGAGGCTCTTTCATATGAGGGGGAGGGAGCACACCAGTAGGCATCTGGAAGAAACCAGACAAAGAGAAGTGATTACAAAGGCCCAAGATGAAAAAGATAAGGGCAAAAAAGGACTTCAATTCATTTCCGATTTCGAAATCAAGCCCTAAGAGTTCTGGACACAGGATTAGAGATGGGTGCACCAAACATTCTAACCCTGACCCTGGTTCCCCTGCTTCTCTGAAATCCAACGTAACATTCTTTATTATAAAAGGTGGAGTTCCCTTAAGGGGGGGATTACTAAAACACATACTGTCAAGCAAAAACATGCCTAAGATTTCAGGGGCTCTTCCAAAGGCCTGGGTACCTCCTAGAAGCCTGGCCGGCACAGAGACAACAAAGAAAAAGGCTGACGCAGTCCATGCAATTGAACTCTGCCATGACAGAAGACGTCAGGAAAAACGTGAAAACATAAAAATCAAACTAGGTCTAAAAACCCAAGAATACCCGTAAATTGAAAAGCAATGAAAATGCAACACAGGCTCTAAAACCCTCAGAGAACACAATAACCCATCAGGCACCAGGATACATACTCACTGGCATCAGTAATGAGGAAAACACGTGGAAACCAGACAGCACTTCCCACTTCTCAGACGGGAGACGCTCTAGAAAACCCGGTGCGTATCTAGGACAGTTCTGGCGGGGGCGGAACGCGCTTACATCGTGCTTTGAGACTGTAAGTTGTTACACATTTGCTTTGAGGGAAATCCAGCTATCTTTCAAAACTTTCAAAAGCCCATCAATTTCCTTTCCAAGAATGTGTCTGATTTCCAAAACCGTCAGAAGACAGACATGTGCCCACATGTGCCAGGTATGGTTCTAGACTTTTGGAACATTCGAGTGAGCTAAGCAAAGATTCCTGATGCCAGGAATAGAAGGGCGGGGGTGGGAAGCCCAAGAAACACTGAAGAGAGATTGTGTGTGTGCCCGGAATGCTCCTGAGTGTGTGTGTGTGTTGCTCTAAGCTGAGTGAGGATGCGGAGGAGTGTTTTGTGTGTGTGCTGGGAATTTTTAGAAAGTCAAACGGCAAAATAATATGTACGCCATGATCCCATTCTGTAAAAACAAGAACATAAATAGACTATGTTTCTGGAAGGACAGGTATGTCACTGTATTTGTAGAATTTAGCAGATGAACTTGGACTTTCTTTTAGCAATTAAAAATTTTTTAATTTTTATTTTTGAGGGAGACAGAGCACGAGGGGGGAGGGACAGAGAGAGAGGGAGACACAATCTGAAGCAGCTCCAGGCTCCGAGCTGTCAGCACAGAGCCCTACTGGGGGCTCAAACCACGAGTGAGATTGTGCCCTGAGCTGAAGTCGGACGCTTAACTGAGCTACCCAGGTGCTCATAAACTTGGACTTTCTTAATGAGCACATAAGTAAAAAACAGACACGTAATTACAATATACACCAAAGAACCAACAAACGCGCACCACAGACCAGCGAGCAGCATGGGGCTGCTGGGAGGTGACGGCCACACAGCTGGCAGACAGACACGGGCAAGGCAACCTCCAAATGGCCAAAACGTAAGCCCCTGAAACGTGTACGGTACCAAACGAATACAACTGAAATGCGTTCCTCAATGGATTGGTTGCAAGATGTTTAGATAAAATAACACGACTTCACAGAGATGATCACAGCTCCATACTCACACCATTCTCCTAACACAGGGTGTCCCTTCTATTCACTGAGAGTATTTTCATCTAAGGTGAATTACAAACAATAAGAACTTGACATCTTTGTACAGGAAAATATTAAAAATCTACAAGCGTTAGGGATTTCTTAAAGACCACCAGCCTCCCCGTCTGTTCCCCGGCACCTCAGAGCACCCCTCTACTCTCTTTCTGAGGCGCCTGGCCCTCAGCTACCCTGAGTAAAACACACTCACCCTTTTCTTCAAGCGCTCCCGCTCCTTCAGCGTGAGGGTGTCGGCTTTGGCGATGACAGGCACGATGTTCACCTTGTTGTGTATTGCCTTCATGAACGCAACGTCTAAGGGCTTCAGTCTGTGAGGAGCGAGACAGCGCCACGAATTCAGGGGAAAAGCAGGGAGATCACACAGTTTTGTTCTCTCAAAATTATCTCACTTCTTGTATTAAAATATACGCGACTTGGGGGAAGCCGTCAGCCCACAAAGTCAGGACGCGACTCCCGCACAGCTGGCTCCCGCGGCCAGCCGCCCACGTACCCGTGTCCGAAAGGGGAGATGAAGTAAAAGCAGCAGTGCACCCTGTTGTCGATGATGTGCCGCCTGTTCAGGCCGCTCTCGTCATGCAGGTACCGTTCGAACTGCTCGTCAATGTAGGCAATGATGGTCTTAAAACTGCGAGCACCACGAACATCAGTTATGGGACACAGAAGGCACAAACTTCAAAGACCAAAGCTTTTTCTGTCCCCTGCCTTTATACCAAATAGAATTTGACAACTCATTTATAAGACGGGAACTGAAAACTAACTCCTACATTTGGCAAGATAAATGTTTTTGGAAAGCGTGGGAAGCATGATTCCCCCAAGCACTGGGGGAAGGGGAGTTTAAAGGCCCAAAGGGAATAATTAAAAGCACCTGAGGTGGGGTGCCTGAGTGGCTCAGTCAGTCAAGCACCCGGCTTTTTTTTTTCACATTTATTTGAGTGAGCGCGTGAGCAAGAGAGAAAACGCACATGCGCACTCCAGTGAGGGGTGGGGGGGCAGAGGGAAGGAGAGGAGAACCCCAAGCAGGCTCCACTGGGAGCCTGACCTGAGCCGAAATCAAGAATTGGACACTTAACCCACCGAGACACCAGGCGCCCCAAGAGTCCAACTCTTGATCTCAGCTCAGGTCACGATCTCACAGTTTGTGAGATGGGGCCCGCAGTGGGCTCCGTGCTGACATCGAGGAGCCTGCTTGGGATTCTCTCTCCCCTTCTCTCTCCCCGCTGGTGTGCGTGCACGCACTCTCTCTCTAATAAAACAACACTTAGAACAAACACACAAAGTGAAAGAAAGCACCTGAGATGAGAGAGCGGACAGAGGGCCACCAGCTCTCACAAGCGCTGTAACTGTGGAGGGGCCGGGGGCGCAGCAGAACACACAGCGGGGACAAGCGTGTGAAAACGTGAACCCAGGAGGAGAAGGGAAGGAGGGAGAGACTCCCGAGGAAAGGAGGCGGGAGACCCTGCCCCTCCTCTCCACTCCTCATCAGATGCTGGCAAGTTGATGCTTTCCGCTCACATTAGAACCTGCAGTTTCTGCCACGAACGCGGTGCTCTCCGCGCAGCAGGCAGACTGCTCCCCTGCTTGTAGCTTTCCTTAGTTTTGCTAAGGACGTCAAGGACCAAGTCTCTAAGGGAAAGGGGTAGGCCACAATCTGCCCCACTGGCCAGGGTTCGTTCAGATCAAGGGGTTTTATTTGCACTAGCATTTGATGGATGGTTGGTTCTTACAGAAGAAATACCCCTTCTCCACGAAACTCCTGTTACAATCAGCGTGCTCGTAAGCTGTTGCACGGTTTTGTCACATATGGCTACCTCAAGCCTAGTCATCACTCGTTAATGCTATGAAATCTGAGCACGTTAGAAGCACCATGTCCCGGAGGAGCATACCAATCCCTGCAGTTGATGGCGTCCCCGTAGCCGGGCGTGTCCACCACTGTCAGGCGCAGCTTGACCCCTCGCTCTTCAATCTCCACAGTCGAAGCTTCGATCTGGACAGTTCTTTCAATTTTTTCTAAAAAACAAACAAACTTAATGAGAGAACGTACCTAAAAACTGACCCAGTTCACAAAGAGGAGAAATGACCTGTTAACTTTCTTATTAATAAACAAATGAACTTCACTACCTTTCCTAGAGGAAGGTTTGCAGAGCTAACACGAGAACTGCGTAAAAATGATCCCCGGGTTGGCAAGGGCGACCTAGAAACTAAGATTAAATGACAGCTCGGAAAGGTTAAAATGCCAATATTGAAAATTATGTCTTCTGTTCCTGAGACGAAGAGAACAATTTCTTAATTCATTTAAACACTGAATTCAAAGTGGGGCACCTTGGTGGCTCAGCCGGTTAAGGGTCCTACTCTTGGAACTCAGGGTTGGAGTTCAAGCCCCACGTTGGGCTCTGCACTTGGCATGAAGCCTACCTAACAGACCCCCCCGCCCTGGAAAAAAGCCCCACAAAAAACTAAACTCAAAGCTCTTTGTGAAAGGGCTCTACTTGGTGGCCAAGGGCTAGACTCTGTGTGGGCTAACCCGCTCGCTCCTGGAGCGTTCGTGGACGCGAGGCTCACACAGCAGGCAGGGGCAGATACCGATCCCCACCGCAGTCAGCCGCTTACAGAGCCCCGCGTGAAGAAACATGGTCCCTCAGTGCCCGGGTCCAACACAGAATCTAAACTATGCCTTCCACTTTACAATAAAGGAAAACAAACTCGGAGATGGACCCATGGACTCATGCAAAGACCCAAGGGCCAAGGCCAGCACCCTTCCCAACTGCAAGCATGCTGTCCCTGTGTTTAAAGGTGAGGCAACGATACCAATTACGTAGTCTCAGCAGCGCTCACACAGAACTGCACTCACAGTACCTGCGGCTCCAGGTATGATTCTTTCTGGGTAGAGATCAGTCAGGAACAGGCTGTTTATGAGAGTCGATTTTCCTAGGCCTGATTCACCTTCAGATGAAAATGGAAATGTTGTCAGGACTTGACCCATATGACATGGTTCGTCTACTGAGTTTATGTGTGGTCTGGCACTAAGCCCTCACAAACACCATTCTCTCTCTGCACTCCATCTGACCACTACCAAGTTGGTACAACTCTCCCCATTTCATTGATGGGGAAATGGGTGCTCAAAGGTTACTAAATGGACTTTGCTTGGAGAGCAGTCCAGAGCAGGGCCTTGATTCAAATCAAGGTCTCTGAGTCTCCAGAATCCCCCACGTGGTAAGATCAGAAACATACCCTTAGCTCTTCACAAATGTATACAATGGACTCTTAGAGGTGGGTCTTTATTTTTTGATAAATAGAATGCAAAGTAGGTTTTCGGTTATGATTTTTGCTAATTGTGAAAGTTCCCACCTTTTCAGAAAACTGAACCCATCTATCAATGTCAAGAACACTCTGGCTTGCCAAGCGGCGGGAACCAGAAACAGAACACTCGCCCAAGACTGCATCACAGTCTGCAGTCGGTGCCTCCTGTCACCAAGGCAGGGGTGGCCGACCTCCTCCCTTACCTGCTCCACACTCTATGCCCCACCAGTGACTGGCCTGGCAACTGCCTCACCTCAGACAGCCTACGCTGTCAACATGGCTGAGTACGATGTAACCAGTTAAGAGAAAGACATACTCATTCTAGTATGTAACGGGTTAAGAATTCTCTTCAACTCCCATAATACCTAAATTCTAACTACTCTTGAGTTATGTAATGTTTGTAATCTGAGTATTTGAAACTTAACTTCAAGGATGCAAAATACCACAAATTAAATATTTGTATAAAAATGTTAATTTATTATTTGTTTGAGAGAGACTGCGAGCAGGGAAGGGACATAGTGAGAGGAAGAGAGAATCCCTAACAGTCTCTGTGCTAAGAGCACAGAGCCCAACATGGGGCTCCATCTGATGATCCGTGAGTTCATGACCTGAACCCAAATGAAGAGTCAGACGCTTAATCTACTGAGCTACCCATCCCCCCACCCCCTAAATATTACTCCCTATGGAAGTGTGCAGATTCCACCTCACTGGAGGTTATCAGCTAAAGTCACATTCCAAACGGAGAGGTGCCTGACGGTCTCCTGGGCATCTTGGTCTGAACCTCTCTCTGCTAAGTCCTGCAGAGCATGTGCAAGGAGCACCCATCTGTTTTAAAAATCATGATTTCTGGGAAAAGAACAAGAACAAATTTGAAATGTGTAGACATATAAAATCAGGACTGTGCTTTAATCAGATTGCAACTTTCCTATGCGGCAAGGACCATGGGAAGGACAAAACCTGAATTATGTGTTGAATGTGTCTCAACAAAAGAGCATAAAAACATGCCAAAGTATGTTTTTAATAAACCACCTAGCAGTGCCCCCTTACGTCTTTACCACAAAATGAGGAGATCTTGCCAGTAAGTGCTGAGTCTTTCTGTGTGCCTGGCACAGGTCTAGGTGCGGGACAGCTCAATTCCTGCTCCCAGGCAGAATGGCAGTCCAGTGGGGGAAGGCAGCAAATGAGCAAGGTCATTCTGCTGATGAAGTGGTGACGGCTGTGGGTAATGAAGCTGAAAGGGATTGGGGCACAAGACATGTCAGCAGAAGCATCCGAGTAGAGACCCCTTCTTAAAAAAAAAAAAAAAAAAAAAAAGGGAAAAAAAAGCAGTAATAATATTCCATTGGCTGACTCTAAATTACAGGTCTTCATTTTAATGGTGGAAGAATCTTCACTTGGAATTGCTTTCAGGCAGCATCTATAAATAACTAACTTACAAACTCAGAACATGATGCTACTCTTCAGCCGCATCCCTGGGACTGGCCAGCTTCGCATTTTCTCTTCCACTAGCATCTCTGTCCCACAGGTGCTTCTCAGGTGCCTTTACACGGGCGACACACAATCTCAAGAGAAGGCCTGGAGCATAAATCCCACAGTGTGAAATGCACCAGGCTGGGCGGCCTTTCGTGGTCGTCCCGCACAAGCGGTGACAGCAGAAGCTGACAGGGACGGGAGGTACTCGGGGTTTACAAAATGGCTCACGTTTTCACCAATGAAGGAGCCACGTGGCTTCAGGCACAAGGGGGCGCCGCCACGTGGAGGAAAAAAAGGTGGAGATGAGGAGAGCGAGCTTGGGTTGACAGCCATCTGGAATCCCATCAGGCTGGCAGTCCCAGAGGCTTCCCATTAAAACCCTGGGCGGGCTAACCGCCTCCATTCCCCCAAAACTTAGGCCAAGCCAGGAATGCTAGGAAACAAAAATCTTGCTAACCTGTGTGGGGGTGTCCCCCCCTCACGTTCACTTTTCAGTTTTAACCAACATAAGAAAGAAGGTGCTTTCTTTTAAGTTTTTAAAAAAATTTCTGAGGGAGAGACAGCGTGAGCAGGGGAGGGTCAGAGAGAGGGAGACACAGAATGTGAAGCAGGCTCCAGGCTCTGAGCTGGCTGTCAGCACACAGGCCAACACGGGGCTTGAACCCACGAACTGTGAGATCATGACACGAGACGAAATCGGATGCTTAACTGAGCCCCCCAGGCGCCCCTGAAGGAGTTTTCTCAAACACCGTGGGGGCAGGCTACTCCGGAGGGCCCTGAAGGGCAACACTCCAAGCGATCCCTTTTTTGCCCAGAGCCGAGCCATTTCAAGGGGTAAGGATGGCCAAGCAGGCCCGGCTCAGAGCGGCCACATCCCGGGCACGCGTGCTCACGGGGGGAGCCCACCAGGACGCGTGTGTGCATTTGCAGGACCCATGAACCTACACGGACTCATCTTCTTAGCTTAGTAGTTCTCAAGTCCTCAGAAGTGTTCATTCTGTAATCGTGTCGTGATTCTGGTCACACTATCCATCCTTTGGACTTTCTACCAGGTACTATACATATTTGGCAAAACGCTTTCTGTTTTTAATCTTGCTCTTCTTGTCCCCAATATGTGGGGGGGAGGCTGGAAACTTGATATGAACTATCACCAACTATCACCGTTCGGCCAGACTTCAGCAGTGTGGGCACCACGTCCCCTCACGAGCAACCTGCCACCAGGCTTCAGTCTGTGGTGTCTTTAAAGAACTTATGTGTGATTTTTAAATTTCTCCCAGATTGCTGCCCAAACATTTGTAGTTTTTCACTCGCATTACGTATGATCTTTTTATGATATTCCTTTTTCCTTTAGAAGTTACCCACAATTCCAAAAACAATGCCTTTTTCACTCGTGTCTTACAAGCTGGGTGCACTAACCTTTTCCTGATACAGGTTCTCCCTCTACCAGGAACTAGACTGTTCCTAAGCCCAAATGGTGGAAGGCAAAAAAGCAACATACCACTCACTTACATGGAAACATTTTTGACACTCCTAGATTAAAAAGAAAATCACCTCTCAGTCTTTCTGATACCTTAGAACACATAATGGGTGCACAAAATCAATAAAGTCCAGAAGCCTGCAGACAGCTCAGAGCTCTGGAAGCTGGACGTGGAGACGCCCCAAGGAGGGGCTCAGCAGGAGTGCTGCTTCTGGAACAGCTCGCTGCAAAACCGACCCCACGTTCTTGCTTATCTTTTGGGTGAAGACCAGGCACTATTAGAGGTCTTTCATAAAACTGGTGTACCAGGGACTTTCAGAAAGCAGGGGTACCTGTCGATCATTTTCCTTGAGCTGCTGACAGGTACAATTTAAAAGTTAAGGGTTCTCATGATTAAGTTTCTAGGTGTTATTCACTACCCATCTCACCCGTTGTCCCCTACTTGCTTTATTTGAAATCCACTTTGCTGAGGTGTAACTCACACACACCTCAGTTTAACAGTAAGTGTACTCTTTTGAACCACACTGATGGATTAGTCTGACCAAGCACATACTCAGATAAACAAACTCAAGGCAACAAGGATCTCCATATCATCTGAGCTCCTTTGCCTAAGTCAGAGTCCGCTCTACCCCTCTAGCGCTGCCACTATATGTACACACACACCAATCTGCTCTGTCTCTAGACTGGCTTTGACTATTCTAGAGCTTCATGCACATGGGATCCTACACCATGCCTTCTGTCTGGCTGCTTTTGTTCAGCACCATTCGCTCTGGAAGTTCATCCACGTGGCTGCATGCGATGGCAGTCCGTTTCCTTCCCTCATGTGGACACATCATGACATGGTGACCACCCTCCCGCTGGACACCTGGGTTACATCCAGTTTGGGCCACTGCAGGGAGAGCGGCTGTGAACGCCCAGGAGCAGTCCCTGCGGTCATGCTATCATTTCTTCCGGTAACTGCCCAAGAACGGACGGTCTACTTACACAGGGAGTAATGGCCAGGAAAGCGCTGAACTGGTTTCCAAAGTGGTCTATCACTTTACACGGTCACCAGCCACTAGGAGAGGCGCGGCTGTCCACATCTCGCTAACACTGGGGACTGCCAGACTTTTCACAAATTTCAGCCATTGCAGGGAGTGTGTGGTGGGATCCTGTGGGTCCTGGCCATTCAGGATCTTCTACGAAATGTCCACCCCAATCTTGTGGCCCTTTCTGTAACTGGGTAGTGTGTCTTCTTCCTGAGCTGCACGGGTTCATATTCTGGACAGGAGTCCTATGTCACGTGTGGTGCTGTGAATGCTTTCTCAAGTTTATGACCTTCTCTTATTGGTGTCTTCTGACGAAAAATTTTTAACGAAGCACAACTTTTCATTTATTTTGTGACTGGTGTTCATCATGTCCTAAACAATCTTACTCCAAGTCATGAAACTCTTTCCCGTTTTCACCTAGACTTCTTACAGCTTTATAGTTAAGCCCAGTGCGCTGCAGAGTGTGAAGGAGGGGGTTCACGTTCACTGCCCACCACACAACCATGCACTTGGTACAGCACTGTTTACAAATGGCTAACCTCTCCCCCTCTGCGTCACCTTGGCACCCTTCTCAAGAATCAGTTGACCACGTGTACGTGGGTCTTCAGGCTGGTATTTCCAGGTGATCTGGAGGTCCACCCTCACCTCACTGTCACGCTTCCTGTCAAAGTCTTGCAGTCAGACCGTACGGGTCCTCTATGTGTTTCTGTCTGTTCTAGGCCCTCTGCACTTACATTCATACTTTACACCAGACTGTTCATTTCTACTTTACAAAGCCTGATGTGACTCTGGCAACGTGCTGACTCTATGGGTCACTCTGGGGGCAGAACACAGTTCATGGGCACACCCAGTGCACTGGCAGCTTGTCTTTCTCTCAGCGGTGTTGCCACGGTGTCCGTGAAGGTCCCGTACCCATTCCACTAAGTTAGCCTAAGCGGTGTGCATTTCTTACATTACTACAGATGATACTATTTTGTAAAATGTTTTTATTACCATTGTTTTTGATAGTCTTTTCAAGCTCATTTTAAAATTATTTGTTGGCGGAGCACCTGGGTGGCTCAGTGGGTTAAGCATCTGACTTCAGCTCAGGTCATGATCTCATGGTTCATGAGTTTGAGCCCTGCATCGGGGTCTGTGCTGACAGCTCAGAGCCTGGTGCCTGCTTTGGATTCTGTCTCCTTCTCTCTCTGCCCCTCACCCACTCCCACTCTGTCTCTCTCAAAAATAAATAAAACAGGGGTGCCTGGGTGGCTCAGTCACTTAGGTGTCCAACTGGAGCTCAGGTCATGATCTCACGGTTCATGTGTTCGAGCCCCACGTCAGGCTCTGTGCTGACAGCCAGTGCAGAGCCTGGAGCCTGTTTTAGATTGTGTCTCCCTCTCTCTTTGACTCTCTCCTGCTCACCCGCTCTCTCAGAAATAAATAAAACATTTTAAAAAAAATTTTGTTCGTAGTACACAGATACCACGTTGATTTTTATGTTACCAGAACCTGCAACTTGATCAAATTTACTTATTATAGTCTTGGATTTCCTTAGAATTTTTAACATACACAAATCATTTCACTTGCAATTAAGAATGTCTTACTTTTTTTTTTCCATGAAAAAGAATAACTCTAACTACGGATTTTTGGTATATATCCTTAATCAAGTTGAGAAAATTTCATTTCTAGTTTACCAATTTTCAAAATCTTTAATGGGTTCTGAATTGTTACAACTGCATGTTTCAGATGATAGCAAGCGTTTCCTCTTTAGAACCACACAGATTAATTTTCCAATGTTAAACCATGCACTCCCGAGGGGCAGTGCCTGGGCTGCTCACTGGGGTAACCATCTGATTGTTGATTTTGGCTCAGGTTGTAATCTCAAGATCGTGAGATTTTTCTCACTCTTTCCCTCTGCTCCTTCCTCCTCACCCCATGCTCTCTCTCTTTCTCAACAAACAAACACACAAAAGTCTCTCCCCCAAAAATCATGTGCTCCTGAGGTAAACCCCATTCATTAGGATGTATACACAGCTTTCCCATAACACATGCCTTGAAGGTGAGAATTTGTTCCAACACGATTGGTGTACTAGGGAAGTTACGTTACTTCAACGTAACACCAACGTTGTATCTTCTCATGTGTGATTTCACTGGTGACAAATCAGGTGAACGTAAAAAACTACCGAGTAGAATCGAGCCATGAAAGAGTATACTCAATAACGTGCACCCCTCAGCTACCAGTGACCTCTGTTCAATGGGCATTGGGGCCCATACACACTCACCTCTGCTGACATGGCTACCCACCCGTCTTCACACAGCTCTCCTTCTACCACTTCCCAACACCCAGTTTGACAAACTTCAGGGACTGGTCAGCTATAGTGCCCATATTCGGTATAGTATGATTAATCAGTTAACATGTGTAAAAACCATTTTTATTATGTTCCTCACATTTGAGGCAACTTTTGACAATGTTGTGCCTGTATTTTCTCCAGAAGCCTATGGTTTCAATTGCATTATTGCACAGCATGGTGATTTTTAAGAAACACATGTATATTGCATTATACCATAACTGACTACATCAAGCATTTTTATATATTATTGGACTTGCCAAAATTTTATTGGGGTGTCTGTCTGCTCATGAATTTCTGTACTTTTCTCATCATTGATTACAGGGTAATGCTGGCCTACTAAAATATTCTCACCATGAAGAGTATTGAAGGTGAATCCTCTACATGCACTTGAAAAGAATGTATACTTTGGCGTTTCTCAGCACACAGTGCTCTCAACATCAGTTGGGTAAATCTTACAGATTCATCTTTCTCCTTTCAGATTCTGCATCGTGCGTTATCGAGCCCCATTGTTAAGTGCACATACATTAAAATGATGTTGTTTTGAACTGAGCCCTGCATCATCAGGATACACCCTTCTTCACCTCTGGGAATATGCAGGTACTAGACATAAGGTCTACTGTCCTGTATCAATGCAGCCGCGTCCGGTTTCCCCTGGTTGGGCTTTGCGTGATTTTCCATCCCGGCCATTCGGGCTCCGACTCTCTGCCTCTGACTTGTCCCGGTCACGACTACGCCCCTTCTGTTAGGGTGCTGCCCTCTCTCCACTGGTCTCATCTCTTGTCTCTTTTGCTGCCTTCTGGAGTGAACAGGTTTTGCGTTCTATTTTATCAAACCTATTGGCTTTTAGCCAAACCCTGGTTTCACTTTCACAGTGGCTGCTCCAGAGCGGATGACTCGCCCCACTAATGCAGGAGCCCTCGCTTAGGTAACACTCCATGAGCCAGCGCCTTCCCGGCCTGCGCTACCCTCCTTGCTACCCGGGCACATCTCATCCCACGTTACACACTGTTAACTTTGCCCTGAAGTTATGTTTTAAAAAAATGAGGAGCCAAGAAAAGTGTTTTTTACATTTACCAACACACTTGCCATTTCCAGTGCTATGCCTTTTCTGTCACCCTGAAGAACCCAGTTAAATTTATTTTTGTGTAGATCTGACAGTGACAAATTCTGTCAGGTTTTACCTAAAAACATTTGTATTTCATCTTTTTTTAAATCTCCATTTTTCATGGTAATTTTTGGTGAATTCAGAATTCTAAGCTGATGGTTTTATTCTTTCAGTACTTTTAAACTATCATCTCACATGGCTGCTGCTACCTGATAAGTCGGTGGCCCTTTTCACCTTTGGTCCTCCGCATGTAACGTGCTCATCCCTCCCCCACCACTCCCCGCCGACCTGCGTGTAAGATTTTTCCTTTTATCTGTGCTTTTCGCCAACTGTTTACTGTGTGCACCGGTGTGCTTTTCTTTATTTATTCTACTTGATGTCTGGATGCTTCGTATTGCCCTTTCTCTTCAGTATATAATCTGCTGTTAGGTCTGTGAGAAATAAATTTAATCTCTAAAAGTTCCATTTAAGTTCTTTTGATTACTTTGTTTCCCTCTTATATTGATGCTCCCCTTTAGGTACCAGGAGCACATTTAAAACAGTAAAAGGTCTTGTTCACTAATTCTATCATCTCTGTCATTGCCGGGTCTGTTTACCTGATGTCTCTCTTTGGTTATGTGTGTGCCACGTTGTTTTGCTTCTTTGCATTTGTAACTTGTTACTGGATGATGGCAACTGTAAATATTACACTGTAAACTAGATTTTGATTTCCTTCTTGAATGAATGATGGGTTTTGTCCTGACAAGTCGCTAATTTTTTAATCAGCTTGATCCTTCAAGGCTTGTTTATAACTTTATTAGGAAAGGTCTAGAACAGTTTACACACAGCAACTGGCAGCTCTAAGCTCCCTGCCCTGTGGGACTTCTCTATAAGGCTAGTGAAGGGTCCTCCCACCATGGCGACTGGCACCCCCCCAAGGTGAGTGATTCAAGAAAAGCCAAGGGGCAGGCTGCAGTGTCTTTTATGACCCAGTCTTGAAGTCCTACATGTTCATTTCTGCCATGTTCTACTGTCTATATGGGTAAGCCCTACTCAATGTGGGAAGGGGCTAGAAAGTACCACAAATACCAGGAGGCAAGGATCACTGGGGCCATTTTGGAGGCTCACTGGCACAATAAGTGAAAACTTCCACCACATACAAATAAGGAAATGGCAGAAAAATTAAGATTCTACCCTTCAGAAAAATTTGCTCAAGATTTTTTTTCAAATTCTCCAGTTATCTGATCCTGACAATAAAGGAATATTCCCTTTGACTTTACAGGTCACACTATTATACCCTAAAGGTTGGGAAGGGACGATAACTTCATTATTTAATAAGCTTGAAGGTGTAAGTTAATTTCTTACCGACCACCATTAGCGTGAATTCAAAACCTTTTTTCACTGATTTTCGGTGAACTTGATTGGGAAGGTTTGCAAATCCGACATAGCCAGGAGTTTCTGGATTTATAAACTGAGTTGGTTGTTGCTAAAATAAGATTTTACAAAAAAGAAAAAAAAACAGTACAAATACCTTATTAGTTGCTTTTAAGATATAATCAAACCTGTGGCATAGACAGGTATCACTAGTTCCCCCAAATTAAAATCCACACCTGCAAACGGCCACCTATATCAGAAAACTGGTGGTATTTGTTCAACATTTTTTAAAAAGAGTAAACCAATCCAGTATTATCGCATGCCGGAAAATCAGTCAAACTTACAAAGTAATACCACAGCTGTAAGTGGTTTCAGGGAACAAACTTAGCAGAAGAATGGCTTCTAAAAGTCAGTCCTTCTAGGGACCAGAGGTGCTGCATTTGTGAAAAGTGTTCAGGAACAAGCCATGTCTCTCGTTCATTCCTAGCTCTATGCCAACACAGAGGCCAAGGGTGAGGCAGGCAACTTAGGGGTGGGGTGTGAGCATCGGGCTTCAAACACCAAAGAGAAGACAAGGAATGAAAAACGGATCACAGCCAAGGAGAATGAAGCATCACTATTCCTCGGCAGGTGGAATAAACTGGAGATACAATAAAGTACATTAAAGCTATAGAATCTGGGCAGAGCATACTAAAAATGTAAGGAAATCGAGAAAAGATACATCAACTGCCTTATTAATTGTAACAGGTAAGGCATAAGATAGTATTTTTCCTTTAGGATTATATTTTGGAAATGTATATTCACATGCACACACGCGCACATGTAAAAACATTCACAAAATGTTACTAGTGGTTATTTCTAGGTGATGGAATTATGGTTAATTTTTATTTGTTTTTTTCCTCATCAGTGTTCCACACTCATACTTGCCTAAAAAGTTAAAATTAACACGGCAATTATACATCAGATAGTAATGAACACCGAAACACTAAAAAATAAAAGGCAAAGGAAAATAATAATCTGGCAATTTTAACCACAAGTTCTGTTTTTCTCAGCCTGTCTTTCAAAACTAATTTATTTCAGGGCTCTGGGCTAATCTGCAAGAGGTAATATAAGCCAATTTATCAAGTCTAAGAGCCCTGTTAGTTTTGTGATGATAATGACTAGAATTTAAATTGTCATTTGATTGGTATTCTGAAAATGATGTAAAGGAGGCTAAATGGATTGTTACTGACGTACTTAGAAACAAATTAGAACTCTAAAAAAAAGAAAGCTCAAAGTTTTTAGAATGTCAATTAAATTACATATTGCCTCAACGAGTCAAATATATCAGTCATATTAAAACTAGGTCACATAGGGGCACGCGGGTGGCTGAGTCGGTTAAGCATCCGACTTCCACTCAAGTCATAATCTCATGGCTTGTGAATTTGAGCCCCGCGATGGGCTCTGTGCTGACAGCTCAGAGTCTGGAGCTGCTTCAGATTCTGTGTCTCCCTCTCTCTATGACCCTCTCCTGCTTGTGCGTGTGCACCCTCTCTCAAAAATAAATTAAAAAAAAAAAAAATTTAAATGAGTCATATAAATCAGGACTATAAACAGTTTGAAAACACAGGAATTTCTCCTTATACTGTAGATACATGAAAAGTATGATCTCTTACCTTAGACATCTTCAGTGAAGTTTTCTCAATCTGTTAAAAAAAAAAACCACATATACATATATGCACGTATGTACACACACACATTTAATTTAGTATGAACTGACATGTAAACAGACTTACACCTAAAGCATCAACTGCTCCTGTTTTACTTGTCAATTGTATCAAATTACAGAAACGAGCAAATTATCACCTCATTAAAAATTAGATATGAAAAATCAGGTCAATTAAGCCAACCCACTGTAGGTATACACATAGATGTTCCTTATTTCCAACAAAGTCTAAACTTTTTTCTAAAAAAATTTTTTTAACATTTATTATTAAGAAACAGAAACAGAGCATGAGCAGGGGAGGGGCAGAGAGAGACACAGAATCTGAAGCAGGCTCCAGGCTCTGAGCTGTCAGCACAGAGCCCAACGCGGGGATCAAACCCACAAACTGTGAGATCATGACCTGAGCTGAAGTCAGACGCTAAACCGACTGAGCCACCCAGGTGCCCCTATACTTTTTTCTAGTACTGATTATATGCTAAGCACCAGGGACACAGTAAGAGAAAAAGACAAAATCTCAGGACCTTTGGAATTATGTAATTTCCTTTCTCTCTTCGAAAACTTTCAACAAGGAAAGGACACTTATAGAACACTGTCTGCTGCTGGGAGGCTCCCTGAGCTCCTAAGAACTAGTTTTTTTTTTTTAATTTTTATTTTTTAATGTTTTTATTTCTGAGACAGAGAAAGAGACAGACACACAGCGTGAGCAGGGGAGGGTCAGAGAGAGGGAGAGACAGAATCTGAAGCAGCTCCAGGCTCTGAGCTAGCTGTCAGCACAGAGCCTGACACAGGGCTCGAACCCACAAACCGTGAGATCATGACCTGAGCTGAAGTTGGACGCTTAAGCAACTGAGACCCCAGGCGCCCCATGAGAACTAGTTTTAGACAATGGGGCACACAGAGCAATATTCTTAAGTAAAGGGAAAAGGACTGAAGGCACTGGAGTGCTGGAGGAGCGGGACAGTAGTTTTCCAGATAGGTGGAATTTTAACACGAATTTTAGAAGACTTGAACCTTTGGGGAACATGGAGGCTTGTCGGCTAACCTTTGGTAACAAAGTCAAGAGAGATGAATGCGGTCAGATTTGATTCCCTCTGGAACTTAGAAACTTAGGTCTTTCTTGCTTGCCTCCCCATCCCCCAAACCTTAACATTCCTGAAAACTGCACGCTGTTTCCCTTCTGAGTGGAAAATTTCCCAACCACCTCTGAAGACATGAGGCTCCCGCACCCCCATGCACGCTTTAACCGACGCCAACGGCAGGAGGAGTTGTATTACTTCACAGAAGATGCCAGCCTTCGTTCTCTCTCTTAGTGGCCCCTTGGGAGCCTTAGCTCATCTGCCCCACTGGAACAAGGGAGGCGGAGGGGAGCGGAGGGCTCCCGTGCTGGGTCTACGGCTGAGAAGGGAGGAGCAGGTAAGGCCTGGGCTAAGAGGAAGGCCAGTGACTGAAGAGGAGTGGACAGCTCCAAGCCAGGCCATGAAATTAAGGCAAAGGAGAGTAGGGACGTTAGGAAGAACAGAAGCAGGGGATGAATTCTGAAGAACCTTCTGGCAAGGAAAGGAATACAGTGCATCCTGGAAAAGCCTGGAGAACAGAATCCCTGAGCGTGAGGACCCCAGGAGTGAGATGACAAGTGGCCCCACCTCCCTGCCTCCAGGAAGAGCTCCACAGGCAGAGCTGCAGGAGGGGGAAGGCAATAATCTGAGCCAGAAAAATTAGTTAACACTACAATGAAGATGCAAGTATACTATTTAAAACTTATGAACTTAAAAACCATGATTTTTAAACTCAAACTTTGGTAGCTCAATTGACAAATGGTCACAATTGAGATTTGACTTGGAAGATCAAATATTAGAAAACTTAACACACAGGCAAAAATATAGAGAAGAAAATCATGGACAGTCTTGGAGGGGCGCTTGGGTGGCTCAGTTGGTTAAGCATCCGATTTCAGCTCAGGTCATGATCTCACAGTTTGTGGGTTTGAACCCCACATCGAGTTATGTGCTGACGGCTCAGAGCCTGGAGCTGCTTCAGATTCTGTGTCTCCCTCTCTCTCTGTCCCTCCCCTGCTCACTCTCTGTGTCTCTCTCAAAATAAATGAATGTAAAAAAAAAAAAAAGACAGTCTTGGAGAAACAATTTAGGCAATCTACCTTTTTCCCCCCAACTTTTTTTTTTAAAGCTAATCTATTTATCTTGAGAGAGAGAGAGAGAGAGAGAGAATATTCCAAGCAGGCTCTGCACTGTCAGAGCCTGATGTGGAGCCTGAACCCGTGAACTGTGACATCATGACCTGAGCCGACAGGTGCCCCTTTGGCAATCTACCTCATTAACAATAAGAGTTCTTGGAAGTGAAAAAGGGACAGAGGGAGAAAAAGAATAGTAATAGAATGTTTTCCTGAGAAGAACAAAGACCAGAGTCCATACATTCACAAACTCTCTGGAATGAATTAAGGTCCCTTGAATAGAAAGGGACATACTGGGAAAATTGTATTAATAATGCAGAATTTGTATTAAACTACATAAGAGTTGAGGGTATGAAGTGAGAACACAGAAGTAAAACATTCAAGAGGGAGATGTGAAGTGTCAGATGGAATGCAGATGGTCCTGGCAGAAGAAGGAGCTGACATCTTTTTTTCAAATACAGAAGTATGACTATAAGAGAAAAGGTAACCCGTTAAAGAAAAATCAGAGCAGAATCTCTAAATTAAGAGAAAAACAGGGAATAGCAACTTGATCAAGGCAGAAAAATTGTGGAAAAAGAAAAAATAATAAAATCAATAATTAAGTGGAAGAATATGCTTAAAACAAACTAGGAAAAATGCTGACAACAAAGGGAGAGGCTCAAACCCCCCCCCCCCCAAACCACAGAGCAGGAGAGCCATGCGGTACCAGCCTGGGTGAGGTTTAAGAACAAGATCATGAAAGGATAGAGAAGATACAACATTCCTAAACTTCTACATGCAAATCATTACAGCAGATGAATACATAAGGAAAGACTAAGAAAAATACCAGGTGACTTGGTAAAACTAAAAGACAAGCGGGAGACTTTAACAGCAGCCCTCAGAATGATGGATTCAGTAAGCATAACATGAGCAAGGGCAGGGGACAGAGTAATACAGTCAATAAATTAGAACTGACATACAGAATCTTGAGTTGAGAAAAGAAGAGCAACTAAAGAAAAAATTTTAAAATTACCATGTAACTACTATAAAGAAAATTTAAGCAACCCTTAAAATATATTTTTATAATTCATGTTCTCAACTCGTGATCCGTTAAAACTAGGAGAAAAAAAGATACAACTCTCCAGTATTTGGAACACCCCTGGATAACCCTTGGATCAACGAGGGTAACAAAAACAAAACCACAAGATATCTAGAAAGCAGGAGAAAGACAACGAAAGCAAGATCTATGGGATAAGACTTCATAGATTCAAACAAGGATTTGGGTTTTAGATATTTTCATATTAGAACACTGAAAACAAAGAAATTCGATTCTCACAATATGGAGAAATAAATGAAATAACTCAAGATCCATTGAGAACGTAAACAGATCCAAAAGCCAATTCTTTGAAACAAATTCCTCACAAAATTAAGGAAAAAAGAAGAGCAAATATTGAAAAAAGGTATAATCACAGACTCAGGAGATGTATATCAAAATGGTCCCAAACCTGAACATCTGGAAGAAACGGATGATCTCCTAGACACTGTAAATTACCAAAGTGGAGCCAAGAACTGGAAAGCCTGACTAGAAGAGCACTCAACAGCTGAATAAAATCTCCCAATGAAAACGGGGGCTGCCTGGGTGGCTCAGTCAGTTAAGCCGTAGGTTAAGCATCCAACTCTTATTTTCTCAGAAATTTTACTATGCAAGGGCTCCTGGGTGGTGGTTAAGCATCTGGCTTTTCTTCTCAGCTCAGGTCATGATCTCTTAGACCATGGGACGGAGCCCACATTGGGCTCTGTGCTGGCAGCGAGGGGTCTGCTTGGGATTCTCTTTGCACCTCCTCCGCTCAGGCGCTGTCTCTCTTTCTCTCTCTCTCAAAATAAACAAATATTGAAAGAAAAAAAAAAGGGGGGGGGGGAACCAAGACCAGACAGAATTAGAGCTGAGTTCTATCCAATCCCAGACAGAGAACACCCATGTCACTTAAGCCACCACAGAAAAAGGGAAAGCACTATAATTTCTTTTATGAGGACACTACAATTTCAACCGCAAATCCAGAGAGAGACCTAGGAAAAAATGCTGGCTAGATAGCAGTATGTCACTCTCACTCATGAATATAAACGCAAAAATTCTCAATGAAATATTTGCTAGCAATTAGGTTCCAGAAATACACCGAAAGCATCTACCTACACAAAGCTATTACAACAAACTAAAGGAAATAACCACATATGAGTAGATACTGAAAAGTCATGTGATAAAATTCAGCAACTAACTCTAATAAAAAAAACTCTAGGGAAACTGCTTAAATATAATCTAGGGTATCTCCAAACATTAATGTCAAATATTATTCTCAACAATAAAGAATACTAAATCTATTTAAATTACAATTACTAATTAGGCAGGGATGTCCGCTACCACCATAAATGTTTTAAAACATAAAAATTCCAAACTTACACAACAGAACAAAATCCCCACATACCACCCATCATCCAGCTTCAAGAATGATCAATTCAATGTCTGTTTCAAATATCCCCTCTGCCATTGTCCTCATCCCTGATTATGAATCCCTTATTTCTAAAAATACTTTAAAAAATGACAAATATTATAAGGAAAATGAACAAGTTTGGAATATAATACCCAGTCAGCACTTATATTTCTGACGGTCTCAGTTTCTGGTTGTTCATTTGCGTTCAGACCCAAGCAAGATCTTCACACTGCAATCTTACCATGATTATCGAACACTACTTTGACAAGTTTAGTGAGAATTCAGTGCAACAACAAAATCAAAAAACAACCTTTTTCACTGATAAGACTGAATACACAGAAAATACAAATAGTTCAAAAATTCCAGAAGATAATTTAGTAAGGTGGCTAGATATAAGACAGATATACAATAACTTTTTTCCATTGTAGTAATGAATATGAAGGAATGGAAATAGGGGAGAAATGCCATTTACAACGGAATTAAAACAAAAAGCAACCAAACACATAAGAACAAATTTAGAAAAAAGAATACAGGCCCAATGTGAATCAAACCATTTTTATTTCTCCCAAATTAGTTTATAAATGTGGTCCAATCCCAAGTGGGATTCTAATGTGGCTTTTTCCCTAATGGGCTGGATAAAGTGACCTTCAGTTCACAAGGAAGAATAAATACTTAAGGACAGAAAAGAATGAGCACTTGCCTCATAAGCTCTCACATGTGTCTTATTTCACACCAACCCGGTAGCACACAGGACTATCACGGGGGTCTCCTGTGGCCTTCCACAGACCTGCTTCTCACGGAATCCTGTGCCCCTGCCTGGGTTCTCACCCAGAAGACGGTGTACCTCCCGCCCGCCTGTGTTCGCCTTACCCTCTTACCCTGTTGAACAGGACTGAGGAGGCTCCAACAGGAGAAAAGGGGGACTGTCACTGCTCCCTACCAGTTTCCTGCTATGTAAGAGCTCTACAGATGCACAAATATGGGAAGATGGAGAATACCATTATTAGAACAGGTACGAATTCTTTAATTTGGCAATTTTTCTTGCCACATCCTACTTCTTTCATGTTCATTTTTTCCCTGAAATATAATTCGAATCCACTCTGATTTTCTAACAGTGTTAAGTTACAACTAACTAATATAAAATGAAAAGTTGAAAGACGAGTGTTGAACTTTTGAAAAACCAGCAACACAGGATGCCAAGCACTGTAATTAATCTAAACCACTGAGTGCAGACCACTGGCTCTCCTAAAGTCAATGTGGTCAAATGAAAATTTTATTCTTTTGGGTTGTGCTCATTCTAGAAGCTAGCAATTGTTTAATAAATATTTTTTCGTTGAACATGGCTTCCACAGAACAATACTCCCATCCCAATTCAGAGAACAAATCAAGTTTTCCAAAACAAAAGATGAAAAACAGATGGATAAAACTAGATTCTTGGCAATACACATAATTTTTTTTTGTTAGTGGTATTTATACTAATGGACTGTCCAACCACAGATATGTTATTCTTATTTTTTACATACATTACCCCAATCCTCAAGATGACCCTGCAGTATAGGACCCCAAATACCCATAATCTCTTATCCAGAGCTCTTGGAATGTTCGGCCTTCAGATTCTTTGGATTGGAGGAAGGTACTTGTACGGTATACACCACGACATCCTCAAAGGCTCCCAGGGCAGCACATTCCACAATCAAACCTATTTTCTACAGTAGCATATGTGACCATCAGCACGAAGTGGTACAAATACACACTATCAAATGGCTTCAACCCAATTCCACTGCCAAATGAGTTAAGACGTTCCCATCTCTCTGGGAAAAAAAATAAAAAACATCTTTTTTTTTTGAAGCAGTTTCTGGTTTTGAAATTTATAAAAGGACCTGAATCACACTTATGAATGACGACAGAGGGCAGTCCCCCCTTCCCTCCCCATTTCCCTAGGTCAGCCTGTAGCTCAAAAGCAGTCAGAATGCAAATACGATCTGATTGAGAAGCCCTTGTTCTCTACACTGGGCTTCTGTGTCAGTCGAGATATCAAAGCGGAAAACAGGAAAAAAAACATCAGACTCACCTTCACAGCCACGTCTTGCCAAGATTTGACAGAGCAGTACACACTGTGAGTGGGGGTGTACAAAGGGGCATACGAAGAAAAGTCCGAAAATAGCGGGACTTCAAGCTACAAGCACTAGACCACAGCTTTCGTGACCCCTGCGCTATCCGGTATCACTTACTAAAATATTACACTTATTTTGAGATGCTATGATTTGAGTCATTCAAGAAATACTTGAGAACTTACTAAGCACTGGTCACTGTGCTGGCCAACGCGGAAGGGTGAGAAGACACACATCTCCTGCCCCTCAAAAGACTAACCATCTAGGAGAAAGCTGCTCCAGAGAATAAAGGCTGATACCAGGCGCAAACCGAATCCAGCCCCAGGAAATCTACTCTGGGCCGGATCCTGAAGGACAGAGCAGGAGAAGGCGGGGAGGTAACTGGGTGTCGGACAGAAAGAAGGGTTTGGGCCAAGACCGAAGGGGACAAATACCCAACGGTTTGAACTGAAAGTTGAAGGCGCTGGGTCAGGAGCCTGTGGAGCTGAGGAAGAGGGCAGAGGAGGCAGGGGTGGTGCTGACAAAAATGAGTCCAAAAAGGTAAAAGGTGGCCAGGTCTTGTGGGTCCCGCGGCCACCCGAGCTGAGCTTCACTGAGAGCTACCTACGGCAGCCACAGGTCGCCTCCTCTCAGGCCCCCGGGGAACGGCGGCCCCTCCCCCCCGCCGTCCTTCCGCGTCTGGCTGTCCGCGGGGCTGGGACCACCTCCTCCTCGCCCCAGCTCTACTCTGCGGACAGGAAGCGCCCGGAAACTGAACAAGACGACGAGGACTTGTTGAGCCTTACTCCTGCTAGAGGACGGCGGGGCGGACAACGGGACAGGCCCCGCGACAGAAACCCGCCCCACGGGACGCAGCCCGGACTCGCCCTCCCCAGCCACGACCGCCAGCGCCCCAGGCCCACTTTCGAGAGAAATGTCCCGTGTACTCTGCACAGGACGAGCAGGGAGTCCCCGGGTTCTTCCAGGACACATCCCGCCGTGAGGGCCCGAGAAGGGCCGGCGACCCCAGGGCGGCCAGGGTGGGGGAGGGCCGGCGACCCCAGGGCGGCCAGGGTCGAGGAGGGCCGGGGACCCCAGGGCGGCCAGGGTCGAGGAGGGCCCGGGATCCCGGGGAGGAGGAGAACGGGGAAAGGTGAGGGAGGGGCGGGGAGGCGCTCGGGAAAGTCCACGAGCGCCGAAGAGGGTCGGGGACACCAGGCCTGCCGCCCCTCCCCCACACCATAAAAGCCGCCCCGCCCGCGCGCCATCGCAGCCGGTCGACCGCCACCCCGAGTCGACCCCCAACGCCTCTGCTTCGGTCCGAAGCTCACGCCCCCGAGGCTGCGGGAACCCACGGCAAGACACTCACCGCGGAGGAGCTAAAGAACAGGACCTGCCCGACCGCGCCGCAGACCCGCCCAGCGCCCGACGTCCGCCCGGGCCCCGCCCTGCCCCGCCCCGTGAGCGGATGGCGTCATCACGTCGACCCGCTCCCTTGCCAACGCTGTCCTCGCCCAGGAGCGACCTGGCCTCCCTCCCCACCCCCACTCGCCGGCTTTCGAGTGCGCAGGCGCAGACCCGTCCGCGGTTTCCGCCTCTGCGCAGGCGCCGTGCCCCTCCCACGGCGGTTGGCCATATAGAGGCTGGGGGTGGGGGGGGAGGTCAAGCGTAGCCTCTTCTCCTTTACCAAGATGGCGGCTTGTCCCTGTTTCGCCACAGTTCCAACCTTATGAGCTTGGTTTCCTTACGCTGATAAGAGTGGAGCAGGTAATGTGAGTCTTTGCCTTGTGAGTACCTAGAGTGGGGGAAGGGCGTCTCTTTACTAGGAGCTGCTGAGGAAAAGAGAGGCGGACAGGGATAGGGGCAGGTCACGTCACGGTAAGACTGCGGAGCGACCACGGGGCTGGAGCCTTCGCCTCTGGCTCTCTCCTCCGGGAAGATGGCGGCAGCACCGAGTTGGGACCGCCGGAGCGGGACAGCGGAGGGTACTGAGAGCGGCCGAATGGGGCTGCTCTAGCCCCGGGCCGCCGTCGTCTCGGTGGTACCGGGGCCTCGCTTCCATTGGCTGCAGCGGGTCACGTGGGCCGGCGGGCCTGTGCGCGGACCATCGAGTTGGGCACCCGTCCCTGGGGACGTGGCCTTCGTGCGCCGGCGCTGGGGCCTGCGCCCCCGGGGAGGGTGGGGCGGGTGCGGCCCCTCGCGGTCTCCTTGGGGTCTGGTCTCGAGGTGAGACCTGGGGCGCGTCCCCAAGCCCATCGCGGCGACGCGGCTCGGGGACGTGAGGGCGACCCGCCCGGCCCCGGCCGCATCGGCCCGGGTGTCCTTTCTCCCCGTGGGCGGTCTGCAGGCTCGCAGCTGTCCGACCCAAATGCCCTCGCACAGGGCGCATTTCTGCAGGACCCCGACCGAATGTAGACTCGGTTGCTGAGACTCTGATGGGCGACGGCACAGTGTTGGGGACGCCGGGGGGTACCGAGAGGGCATGTTTGCCACCATCGACTCGGAAAATGAGAGAGTCAGACTTTGTAGGAGGGTTTGCACGCCGTGTGCACCCAAAGAGAAAATCTCCCCGTGTATTGTTTAGAAAACGATCTTTGTGGTCAGATGAAACCTCTAGGGATGTAGGTGAGTGACATCTCCAGTAACAGGATGACTTGTCCTTCAGTTTTGAATTTGGTTTCTGTGTCCTCAGTTTCCTGGCTACTTTAAACCCGCAGGCAGTGACTTCCCATTTGTTTGGTGTCTGCTTAAGGACAGTCACTTTCTTGGCAGGTAACTTTTTCAAGGCCCTATTAGGACAGGGCACGTCACAAGTAGGATTTTGTCTGAAGCAACTGGTAGTGCTGTGCTACAGAATAGCCTTAACGTTCACATATGAAGTCAAGCCTGGGGTATTGAAACATTGAGTGAAATCTAGTGCTCAGGTTCAGATTTTGATAAGTTTGAAAAATAAGCACCCCAAGCTAACCTCGTTAAGTACGTTGAATATTAAGGTTCTTGGAAGCAGTGTTTTAAAGTGGTTGAAAATGTATTTGGTTAAAAATGGCTTCCATCACTTGAACTCCCAGTTCACAGTCTGAAACCTCAACCATCAAGCTTATCACGAGACTTCTAGGCTAGGGAAAAAACGGAGTACGCCCCTTCAAGTCTTGAGGGAACAACATTTGAAAGCCAGATAAACAGTTTACAATGAGGATTAAACTTTGCTTTCCTGAACTACTGTCGGATCTTCTGTGTACCAAGCACTGTTGATGGAGTTACTTCATTTTCTCTAATCCAGTAGGCCTCACCTGGGTACATGTACAACGAGTTTAAGGAGAGTGCTCCTATGGTGCCATCAGCCCACATTCCTGGGCACCTCTAGGGCCAACCCCAGCTGGATCTCTGTCACAGAGCCCTTTCTCATGGGCCAAGCTCCACCTCTCAGCAGCCTGATGGGAGAATTTCTTCTTGGATCATCGAGTTTTATGTGTTTCTTTTCCTTTGGTTTTCTTGTTGGGGCTTCTGGTTGTGTGACGTTGGCCTCATGACATCACTTCTTCAGCAGTTCAGTTCAAAAACATTTATTGGGAATTGTATGCCAGATACTTTTAAGGGTTCTAGGGACGTAAAGGTTAAGAGGATACAGACTTTTTTCCTTTCCTTAAGCAGCTTATGGTCTGGTATGGGGGACTCACTTGTAATTAAGTTAGGGAGTTTTAAAGGCAGCAGTGGAAATATATACAAGGTATAGAGATATGAAAGAGGAGGTGGTAGTTACCTGTTGAAAAGTTTTTACAAAGAATGTGGTTCTCGAACTGCGTTTAGAGGATGAGAGTTTTCCCAGAACGAGGTGTTCTACACAGGAAGACTAGCTTACGCCAGGGGGGTGCGTGGTAGCCATAGTTGGTGGCACAGACGGCAAGAGGTGGAGAATTTGAGAATTTGGTATGCTGCTAATAACATCTCAAGTGGTGGAGGGCCTGCCTGAGGGCCTGTTGTGAAGGACTTTATGCCCTTCATTCAGCTCAGTCTAGGACACTCTGACCTGGACAGGATTTCAAGTGATTACGTTGTCCCCCTTGATGATTTATATGAGCTTTAGTTACAGGTGGATGAGAAAGGGGCTCCATTAATGCTTCCCAGCTGAAACTTGTTTACGTACCAAAAGGGTTTGAGCAGAGAACACACTTTTTGAAGTACGAAGCAGTACTCGTGTTTGATAAGGGCCATTCAGCGTCCACCCTTCCCACAGGGCTAGACATGATCCCTTTCCTGTTAAAAAAGAACCAAGCTCCTGGAAGAAACCCAGCACACAACTGAGTTCTCAGTTACCAAGTTATGGTGGCAAGAAGTCCAGCATGCATATTGGGAAAGTTTTTGGCCAAGTGGAAAAACAGCCAGAGAGCATCTGTGAATCAAAAAGCCTTTTCCCTTAAGGTCTGAGAACACCACAACATTCAGCATTTGAAAACCAACGATACCAAACTCTTTTCATTAGTATGACATTTAAAGAATTGATTACACAAGTTACTTTGGGCTAAAGTAAGTTTGTGTTTTGTGTGTTTTTGTGTGTTGTTTTATAGTTGTAAAATCAGAGACATTTTAGAAGTGATATCCTTAGGAGGCTGTTCCCCCAGGCGTGTGGAAGCTCCTCGAACGCTGCTAGAGACGAGGCAGACGTATGGTCCCAGACGTGTCTGGGCATCATATTGTCTTAGCCGTCTTGATGCTTGCCATTAATTTAGTAGCAATACGTTGTGTGTACTCTGCCTTAATACTTTTTATTGGCGTTCATATGGGTTTTAAAGTTAAAAATGAATTTTATTTCAAATCAAGGTTCTATCTTCAGGTAGTTTTAAGAAGGAGAAATAGGGCACCTGGGTGGCTCAGTTGGTTGAGCATCTGACTTCAGCTCAGGTCATCATCTCACAGTTTGTGAATTAAAGCCCCGCATCGGGCTCGCTGCGGTCAGCCCGTCAGCACAGAGCCTGCTGTGTGTGGATCCTCGGTCCTCCTCTCTCTGCCTCTCCCCCGCTTGCACTCTCCCAAAAGTTTAAATAAATATTAAAAAGAGAGAGGGAGAGAGAAGGAGAAATAAATGCCAAAGGGCTTGTGAGGAGACACCGGACCTCCTTCCGTAGGCACGCGCACCCATCTCGCGGCGGGACCCTTCGGTCTTTGCCTCTGAACAGCACGTGTGCTTGCCTGCTTGGTTACTGCTCTTCCTCCCGTGCTCTTTGCACACCTTGTCTCCTTACTTGACTCAGAATGGGTATGAAGTTTCTAGCTTTCTTCCACTGCTGTGCCTTTGCAAATAAAGGCACCTTTAGTTTGGTTAGTCCGGTGTTCAGTGTTCGAGTTATGACTCCATAGTGCCATTCCCAGCGAGGCAGCTGGTGTGACGGGATGGTTGTCCTTTCCTGGGTCAGGTTTTGTTTTTCCTGAGGTTCTTGTGAGTTTTACTTGTTTTTTGGCGTGTTTTAGTTTTCTGTGTATTTGTCATTAAAATTGAACCCCAAATTCAACAGTTGTCTAAATTTCTTTCAAGAAATAGTCTTTTTTATCTGATGAAATTCAGTATTTCATTAGTCTCCTTTTGAGTAACTCTCCCCCAGGCCCCCATCTGCTGGGATCGTCCTGAAGATCTCACCGCCCACTTGCCTTGGGTCCTTGGTTTCCTGGAACCTGTATCTCCGTCTCTCTTGACTTCTTACCCTCTCATTTTGATGGAGCACTTCCTCAAGGAGTTGCCTGGGAACAGATGCACGGGCGATATGTTTTCAAAACGTGTGTGTCTGGAAAGTGCTTCTACCCATGCACCTGAGGGAGAGTTGGACACCTTTTGCTCCGTCTGTCTTCCAGGATTGTTGCTGAAGGCTTCACCCATTCTGATTCTAGGGTCTTCATATGTGGCTATTTCTTCTCTGAAGCTTAGTGCATTTCTCTCTCAAGTTCAAAACACCCAGTGCAGCAATGTCCCTTGGAGTCTGTTTTCATATAATGTCTTGCCTTACACTTTAGGTTACTTTATTTGGAAACTTCTTTAACTCTGGCCATGTTTCTTAATTTATTGCTTTGATTTGTTCCCACTTGCTTTCTCTTTGTAGAATTAGACTATCGTACCTTCTGGACTGACCCTGATTTTGCTTAGGTTGTCCACCTTGTTTCTGGAACGTACTCTCAGCTTTATTCTAGACATGCTGTTGGGTTGTTCTCACTTTATTTCCCTAGGAGTGTTCTCTCAGTGACTTCTGACGTCCTGGTTTTATTTCGTAGCTGTTGTACCTCCGCTTATCTCTCAGGACATTCCTGACTTGAGGTTTTCTTTCCCTGAAATCATGGTTTACTTCAGGCTACTTTTTGTTGAGGTTTTGGCTTTCGTATCAGAGCCTTTCTGTGCTATCTGGGGATATTTCCCCTCTGCTCAAGCGTCAGTAGCTGGGACTTGCCAGCCGTGGCCATCGCTGCAGAGGCACTGGCTGGGCCCTGGCCTTACAGCACTCTGTTGGCTTCGTTCTCTCTCTCCAGATTCTCCACAAAAATACCTTCCGGCCTCTTGCCTGTGTCCAGGGGGCCAAGTAAGGGAGAAGACTACAATCTTAGCAGTAACTACACGGACAGACTCACTTCTGTGTCTTCAGAATGGTGTCTCACCCGCCACTGTAACCCGTAACCCCAGTCCAAAGATTCTAGTTGCCTTCCCAGGGGGAAAATCATAGCCTTTGACCAGGGTGTGAAAGGCAAAAAAAAAAAAAAAAAAGTCCTTTTTAATAGTATTTTCTGATCATTTTTCTTTCTGGGTGCCCATCAGCAATGTTATTTTTAGCTTCCAACTTGAATTTCACCTACATTGTAATTCTTCTGTTCTTTACTACTCCTTTGTAGCCTACCTGTGGGTTTTCCTTTGTCTTACATGTGTGCTGAAATGCCCTGGCAGAAAAGAAGAGATGAATAGGTCAGTCTTATTTAAATGGTCGGGAAC